TTGCCTGTTTCCCAGCTGTAAATGAGATCATCCTGGGTGAGCTCTGCATGCTAATGATCACCCTGCTGTGTGCTTCCTCTGAATGCTTTATAGGAAACAAGCTCTTTCATGCTCCCCACAGCCCTTTTTTAGGAGGTGCTGTCATTCCATTTACAGGTGAGAAATTGAGGTCTGGGAAAGGTGGAACCATTTGTCCAGCACACAACAGTCAGGCAGCGGTAAACTGTGATCTGAACCCAGAGACGGTCTGACTGCGGAGCTTGTCTTTATCCTCACCACCACGCTTTTAAAGAGCATTTTGTTCTAATGAAAATTGGTAGTGTAATATTCAGGAGGTGAGAGGGAAATAATGGTTTAAAATCTTTCTTATTCACCTGGGGACCTGGGGAAATGCTCTTGCCCTTGTTTGCTGGGCTGTAAAAACATGCTGATGCCCGACCACCTACCTACCCTGCCAAGACACTATTCTGGATCGATTTACCACTGGTCAGGCACTGAGAGCCTTAGAAGATGAAGCTTCTTAGTTAATGTTAACTTTATTTCTTTTCTTTTCTTTTTTTTTCCCACATCCTGCAGTGCTCAGGGCTTCCTCCTGGCTCTATGCTGGGGATCACTCCTGGCAGTGCTGGGGAGGGGGTGGTGCATATATGGTGCTGGGAATTGGCTATGTGTAAAGAAAATGCCCTATCTGCTGTACTGTAACTCCAACACTTCTCTGTTGCTCAAGGGTATTTCCATATCCCTCCTTAAGTCTCTACATTGGGAGCACCTTTCCACCAACAACTGGATTGGAATTTTTTTTTTATCTTGTGTTTGTTTTTGGATTATACCTAATGATCCTGAGGGTACTCTTAGCTCTGTGCTTAATGAAATCAAAACAATAATGAGACATTACCTCACACCAGTGAGAATGGTACATATCAAAAAGTCTGGACATAGCCAATGGTGGCAGGAAAGTGATGGGAAAGGAACCCTCATCCACTGTTGGTGGGAATGTTATCTGGCTCAATGTCCACAGAAAGCAGTATGAAGATTTCTCAAAGCACTAAAGCTAGAACTCCTGTATGACCCAGCAATAGCACTACTTGGTGTCTACCCCCAAGACACAAAATTCATTCCAAAGAATATATTCACAACCATGTTTATGGCAGTGTTTAGTGCAATAGCCAAGATGTGGAAACAACCCAAATGTCCAACTGTAGGATAATGGATCAAGAAGTTGTGGTATATAAACAAATATATATATAATGGGATATTATGTAGCTTTAAAAAAGAACAAAATTAAAAATAATATAAAATTCTGAACAAAATTTGCTCGAGCGGGTCCAGTAACGTCTCCATTGGAAACTTTGTTGTTGAACAAAATAATTCAATTTGCCACTACATGGATAGAATTAGAGAGCATCCATTCTGCTGAGTGAAATGAGTTAGAAGGAAAGGACACATGAATTATCTCTCTCCTATGTGGGAGGCCCAAGGCAACATTCCTGGAGAATGAGGGTGGCATTGAATAAGAGGGGTCTTTGGGATCTTGGTAGAGGACAGTGGGTACTCTGGTGGCAGATGAGGTGTAGGAATGATGTATGCAGGAAACTATTATCATCAACAGTATTGAAAATCATAGCACCTCAATAAAGATTAAAAGAAAAGATGCGCCTATCAGTATTCAGAGGGGGGACAGGGGTTGAACCCAGGGCTTTCCTGTGCTTTACATATACTCTTATCCTTTGAACTATCTCTCCTGTCCTGGACTGGGATTTTCAAAGCAAAGTTCAATTGCAATCTAAGGAAACAAGCAAATAGATTTGTGGAATACCACTAAGACTTTTTTTTTGCAGGACTCATTCTTACATTAGAAGGAGCAAAGAGAATCTCCCCTCCATGGTGAGCCTGAAGCCCTTGGGGGAGAATGTGTGGACCTGAGCTTTTGTCTTGTTTTGTCTTGGATAATCAAGTATTCCTCTGCAGCAGCTTGCAAAAAGTGGGGCAGTTCATTCTATTCACTTATTCCCATCCTGTTACTCCTTTCCTATGGCTTACTCTGAATCATTCCTGCATCACCGAAGGCTGGATTAGCTAGTACACAGTGCTCTGATTTTGCTTCTTTATAATCTGATCTTTGAATAGCTATATGAAATAATTAGTTTGTATTCCTGGAAAGTTATAGATTCTTTGTTGTAAACTGCAGTGCATGAAACATTTTTAAAATTTCAAGGGAAATGTCTTTAATGATTTTTAAATTGTTGTTTAAGGGAAAGGTATTTTTTTTTTTTTTTTGCTTTTTGGGTCACACCCAGCGATGCTCAGGGGTTACTCCTGGCTCATGCACTCAGGAATTGCTCCTGGCAGTGCTCGGGGGACCATATGGGATGCTGAGAATCGAACCTGTGTTGGCCATGTTGGCTGCGTGCAAAGCAAATGCCCTACCCGATGTGCTATCGCTCCAGCCCCGGGAAAGGTATTTTTGTGGGAGGAAACCACCCTAGAAATCTTCTTACACACACACACACACACACACACACACACACACACACACACACCACTTCTTGATTTCCATTCCTGGAAATGTGTCCTTTTAGATGCTATTCCAAGGGCCAGAGAGATCACTTAGAGGACTAGAGCACAAACTATGCATGCAGGAAGCCCACCAGGTTTGATCCCCAACACCTGAGCAACTCCAGGTGTATAGCAAAATCAAAAACTATAATAGCAACAGAGAAGTAATTACAAATTATTACAAATAATGTATTACAGATTAGGGCTTTAAGATATACATTAAATAGTTATTAATACTATAGCACTGTCCTCCCATTGCTCATCGATTTGCTCGAGCGGGCACCAGTAACATATCCATTGTGAGACTTGTTACTGTTTTTGGCATATCGAATATGCCATGGGGAGATTGCCAAGCTCTGCTGTGCGGGTGGAATACTTTCGGTAACTTTCCGGTCTCTCCAAGAGGGACAGAGGAATCGAACCCCAGTTGGCTGCGTGCAAGGCAAATGCCCTACCTGCTGTGCTATCTCTCCAGCCCTAATAATTAGTTATTAAAGATAACAAAAATTTCGAAAGCCCAAAATATTCCAGCTACACAAAACTGATAGACTATGTATGTATTAAAATCTAAAATTATAAAGGCCATAAGACTGCATGAAAATGTTGATTATGTAAATGAGCAAGGAAATGTATAATGACACCATATCATTTGGATTGTGTATATTTTCTATAATTTCTATTCAATTTTTCTACTTTGTCTCATCATTTTTGATACCAAGCTCTCATTCCATATGAACACTATTCCTTCCTTTATCACTCTAGCATCTTTTTTTTTTCCAGGAGTGGAATTGTTCCACATATCCAGTGATATGCAGGGGCTACTACTGACTTTGTGCTCAGGGATCACTGCTGGAAGTACTTGGGGGACTATATGCTGTACTGGGAATGAAACTGGGGTTGGTTGCATGCAAGGCAAGCACCATAATCCCCATGTATCTCTCCAACTCCTATCTCCTCAGCAGTTTAAACATGCTTCCTTGGTTTTTTATCTCAATTTGTTATCTCTCTGTAGAGAAATGTATATGCCTATATTCCAGAGATTGGAAGGAACTTTGAAAAGTAGATGACTTGTTACATGGGTAGAGTTGGTGGATTAATAAATTCTCATTTGTTAGTTGGAAATGATCACTCTGGACAAGAACTGAGTGCTGAAAGGAGGTAAAGGAAGATACATGATAACCTTTCAGTACCTGTACTGCAAACCATAATTCCTAAAGGGAAAGAGAGAGAGCAGGATAGAAAGTGAGAGAGAAGAAAAGTGCCTGCTAAAGATGCAGACTTGGGGGACAGGGCAAGCAGGAGGAAAACTGGGGACATTGGTGGTGGGAAGTACACACTGGTGAAGGGACAAGTATTGGACTTTGTATGATGAAACCCAGACATGAACAACTTTGTAACTGTGTATCTCATGATGATTCAGTGAGAGAGAGAGAGAGAGAGAGAGAGAGAGAGAGAGAGAGAGAGAAATAGATTCCCATTTCTTGAGCTAGTTATTTCCTTTGGTTATCTTTTCATTGGGCTAGCGATAGCACAGCGGGTAGGGTGTTTGCCTTGTATGCAGCCAGCCCGGGTTTGATTCCTCCGCCCCTCTCAGAGAGTCCAGCAAACTACCAAGAGTATCTTGCCTGCATGGCAAAGCCTGGCAAGCTACCTGTGATGTATTCGATATGCCAAAGAAGCAGTAACAATCTCCCAATTTGTTGTGAGACATTACTGGTGCCCACTTGAGCAAATCGATGAATAATGGGAGGACAGTACAGTACAGTATCTTTTCATTTGTTTCACAGACATATCATCTCCTTCAAGGGCTATTGTCTGTGAGGCTCCGGTATTCCCTGCTCTGATCTTTCGTAGTCTCTGCTCAGAATCCAGTGATTTCTCTGGTCACAGGCAGGCATTTTACTGGACAGTTGGTTGAATTTCATTGAAGTCTAAATCCTGAATATGTGCCAGAAGCTCAATTCCCTGCAATGGCCTGACCTTTGTCTCATACCTGGGTTAATTATTTCTTGCTTCTAGAAGGTTAAGTCCCCATCTCCAAATCCCTAACCAATTTCAAATTGCCTATTTCAAACCCATTGATTGAACTTTTCTGTGTTTAGCTCTAGGGTCTTCACTTCAACATCTAAATTTTCATTCTTGACCTCAAAATCTGCTCTGTATTGGAAATTTGTTTATGCTCTATTCATCACCTCTATAATTGAAAGTGGGATATTCAGCCCACCATATTGACTGGAAGTATTTATTTATCTTTCTTGATGCAACTAAATAAAAATACATGTATGTATATTCCAGAGACTGGGAAGATACCTTGAAAATGAGTGAGATGGCAGAGATGTGGGATTATCGTAACTTTTTTCTCGGTTTTGCAAATGTTCTTTTTTGTCAATCTACGAACTCTAAGATGAGAATTATCATTTTTAAACTGTTTTCTTTTGTTTCAGAATGCCTACACTGCAACTGCTATTAATGGGACAGATTTTTGTACATCAGCAAAAGATGCACTCAAACTCTTATCCAAGAATTCAAGTCATTTTGCATCAGTTAGCTGTTTTGGAGACTTTGTTATTTTCCTAGGAAAGGTGAGATGTATTCACAAAAAATTAAAAATTCAAAAGCTTGGGATCCCAAAATTAAGTCATACAACAATGCTTTGGTAAGAACTAGTGTTGCTTGAGTGCTTCATACTAGCTGTCATGTTCATGATCTCATTAAGTCCTCACCTGATGAGGTATCTTTATTTTGCAGACAAGGAGCTGAGGTTCAGATCTCATCTAGAAGCCCATAATAGGTACATATGGCTCAATTTTTCCTGCTGCTCTGATTTCTTCTTCTTCATTTCTAAAATAAAACAAAGCAAAAACCACTAGCCCCTAGAAAATAGATACTTTCATTCTATGAAGGGTTTCTATCATAAAATTATATAAAAATAGTATTGAAGACTGATGAAAACTGATGAAATGCCTGCATTATTAAAGAAAAGCTGTCTGTGAACATAAAGACATCATTGTTAACTTTCTGAACGAAGTCAGTTACATTTTTTTCTGTCATGTGCACCTTTAAAAAAAGAAATTTTGGTAGTCTTTATTCTGTTTGGGGGTCACACCTGGCAGTTCTCAGGGGCTACTCCCAGCTCTGTGTTTAAAGACCACTCCCAAAGGTGCCAGGGGTCTCCTGCATGCACTCAACCAATTGAGTATCTCTCTTATGCCCAAGGAATTATTTGTAAACTTAGGGAGCGTAGAGGCCTTTCAGAGCATCTTAAAGCTCCAATATCTCATGGTATAAAAGACAAGTCCTGGGCCAGAGAGATAGTACAGTGGGCAGGGCACTTGCCTTGCACAAAGCCAACCTGGGTTTGGCCCCCAACACCCCATACAGTACCCTGAGCCAGTTAGGAGTGATCCTTGAGCACAGAGCTAAAAGTAAGCCCTGAGAACAGCTGGGTGTGGTCCCCAAACAAAAACAAATGGAAGACAAGCCCAAAGCTCTAACACCTCTGAACCTCAGCTCCTCTCTATAGAGACAGCACCGGCCTTTCCTTGGTTGTAAGGAGAAGTAACAGGAGTTTTTCCTTAAGCTTGTTTCCCACTTGGCCTGCTTCTGCACTCCTCAGGTTCCTGAAAGCTAATCACATTCTTGACCACAGACATCCTGTCCACCCCATCTTCATTACTATTCTGAACTGACATCCTTGATTCTTCCAGCCTCTCCTCCCTGTAGGACACGAATGCCAGGGGCTACAGGGTAGGCTATAGGCTTCCCTGAAATGAACAAGATCTTGCAGTTCAGTTGTGACCTGACCAGTGCCAAATATGGGTACCCTGCTCTCCTCACGAAAAAAGCATTTGTGCTTTTGTGACATTTGGTTTTGTGCATTGCTCTCATAGTTAGCTGTCAGTAACAAGTTATAACATGCTTGGATTTCACAGGTGTGTGTTAATTGCATGTTTATTTCAGGGCTCAGCTGGGCCCCAGCGCTTTCCATGTGTCATGCACTCTAGAGGCACAAATCCATTAATGCCATTCAAATCAGATTCAGTAAACTCTCTTTGTATTTAAATGGATAAGATTATGTATATACATAACACCCAAAAGGAGAGAGAGTAAGAGAGAATGTGTCTGCCACAGAGGCAGGAGGTGCAAGGGGTGGAGGTGGGGGAGGGACACTGGGAACACTGGTGGTGGAGAATGGGCACTGGTGAAGGGATGGGTACTCAAACATTATTTGATTGAAACATAATCATAAAAATTCGTGTGTATAAAAAAATTAAATAAAATTGAAAAATTTTTAAAGGATTATGTATATTAATTTGATAAGCTTCTCAGCAATACATTTTCTCATGACCATTTCCCAAAAAGTGTCTTTAAAAGAGGTTTAATTTTGAAATGACACCTTCCTTGAAAAAAAAGGTTTTTTTCATCATTTTTTCATTTCATCATCCTGTTATTCCTCGATTGCCTCGAGCAAGCCCCAGTAACGCCTCTTTCATCCTAGCCCTGAGATTATATTCAAGGCTATTTAGGAGAATGAGACCCATCATTGTTACTGGTATTTGGCATATTTGGTACGCCACGGGGAGTTTGCCAGACTCTGCCCTGTGGGCAGGCTACATTCGATAGCCTGCAAGTTTGTCCAAAGTAGTAATGAGACAATAAGATGTCATAAAAAAAAGTTTTGATAAGATGTCGCGCGGCCGCATTTGCGGCTGCGCGGTTCCGGGATCTGGATTTTATAGTCTCTGAGTCTTGGCCGCTGATGGGATTACACGGCGCCAGGGGGCCAGGTGGTGGGTGTGACCCCCGCCTACTGGAATTTGGAGGATCTGGGTGGAAGATGCTCAACTCCAATTCGAGTAGGCTTGGAGGTCTCGGCCCCGGAACCCGCGTGGCTTTGTCCCTCTGCCAGTCCCTTCATGTGTGCGGAGAGTGGTCTCAGCATGGTGGTGGCTGGTCCTGGAGGTCTTCGGCTGCCGGAGCCCTGGTCGGGGCGGGGAGGAAAGCTCAACCCGCTCCCCTCCAAGGGGCTCCGGGAAGGAACACCCAGGCGCGGGGGCAGAAGACTGCACTGTTCTTGTCCGGGATCTGGATTTTATATATTTTATAGTTATTTTATATAAATAAAATAAAAAAGTTATTTTATTTTATTTTATTTTGGGGGGAGGGTGGTGGTGGAGGGAAGGAAACTGGGGATATTGGTCATGAGAAAGATACACTGGTGAAGGGATGGGGGTTGGAACCTTGTATGACTGAAACCCAATCATGAACAACTTTGTAACTGTGTATCTCATGGTAATTCAAAATAAATATAATTTAGGGTAAAGAATACATTAATAAAAATTAGAAATCAGAAGGAAAAAGATAAAGAAAGGTTTCAGATAATCATGAATTTGAATAGTCAATTATTTCCCATAGGATCATTGCTAATGAGTTTTCTTACAAGTGATTCTCCCCCCACCCATCCCAGTTGTTGAGTGGGCAGTGCTCAAGGCTGTGCAGTGCTTCAGATCACACCCAGGCCAGGCATTTTCTTTGTCACTTGAGCCAGCCCCCAGTCCCAGATTCTTGGGGCGTTTGAATGAAATAGCATTCAGTTATGTCCTTCTATGTGGACTTCCAAAGACAAAGGGGACTTCAGACTAGTCCATTTGCCTGGCAAAGAATTAGGTCCATTGGGCCAAGGAGATGACTCAAAGCAGAGAGAACTTGCTTTGCCTGTGAGAAGCCCAGATTTGATTTCCTCCCTGGCAACACCCAGTCTTCTGAGTACTGTCATGAGTGACCCCAGATCAACAGTGGCCCCAGGGCCCCTGAGCACTATTTGGGAAGCTGTTCTACCAAAAACAAAACAAAACACAAACAAACAAACAAAAAACATCATGGTCAGTAATCATTTCCTGGGAATATAAATATATAGAGCAAAAGCATGGAGTAATCCTGTTTTCCCACCATTGCTTTAAATCCCAGGGTACAAATGATTACATATTAAATAGCAATACAGCCACTCAACCAATTATCAAATGGTTATCCAAAAGATGGTGTTTATGGAAGCATTTCAATGAAGACATTTATCTGTGACATCATGCGAAAAAAGAGTGGTTTTGTGAGGTTGTTATTCTGTCTACACAGACACTGAAACTATCAAATGAAAAAGTGCTTTTTCTCTGCCCACCCTCCAAATGTGCTGGTTTTTTTTAATTTATTCATTTATTCATTTATTTTCTTTTTGCTTTTTGGGTCACACCCAGCACTGCACAGAGGTTACTCCTGGCTCATGCACTCAGGAATTACTCCTGGCAATGCTTGGGGGACCAGATGGGATGCTGGGAATTGAATCCAGGTCGGCTGAGTGCAAGGCAAACGCCCTATCAGCTGTGCCATCATTCCAGCCCCTGCTGGGTTTTCTTTAGCCATCACAGCTCTTTCCTTTCTTCCTCTTCCTATCTCATTGGACCTCATTTTCTGACCATCATTCTTTGGATTCGGGAAGGACACACACTCTCATACACATTTGTGAAACTGCCTTGTAACCGAATAACTCTTCTCTGATGTTCTAATCACTTTCAGTGACTGTCGTTTGTACAGGTGTTGGTGGTGTGCTTCACTGTGTTTGGAGGCCTGATGGCGTTCAACTACCACCGCGCACTGCAGCTGTGGGCCATCCCTCTGCTACTGGTTGCCTTTTTTGCCTATTTAGTAGCCCACAGTTTCTTGTCTGTGTTTGAAACTGTGCTGAATGTTCTTTTCCTGTGTTTTGCTGTTGACCTGGAAACAAATGATGGATCCTCAGAAAAGCCCTACTTTATGGACCAAGAGTTTTTGGTAAGCAGATATTTTATCCCTTGTTACACTCTTGGGCCCTGCAAGTGTTGGAGACTCATTGGTAAAGGAGATGGGGACCCAGTCTCATCTTTTCCAGGGCTCTCGGGGGCTCTGCCACATGCCTGGAGCCTTTCAGAATGGAATCTGAGCTGTTTTCCAAAGCCAAACCTGTCTCCCTTAATGAAGCCTCTCCTTGGAGAACTGGACAAGAGGAATTGAGAAAATTACCCCAAGTCAAAAGTGTTTGGGATGCAGCAGCTGTTTACCAACAGAATTCAGTGCTAAGAAACTTTTGGGTGGTCTGAGAAATTAACAGTTGATTTTTCCCCCCAAACACTTTAGTATCCCCAAGCATCATACCTATTGTATTTTAGGAAATGCATGCCTCAGTGTAGACCTTCTGGGCTGGCTACATCTGCTATTTCCAGGCTCTTGGTTAGCCAGGGCACCACAAGGTGCACCTAACCATACCCTGAGAGCCCCCCAACTGCTTTATCTGGAAATAGCAGGCAGCTGCTTCTAACAACTTTTGTAATACAGTTGTTAACAGCCTTATCCTATACATACAGGGGCATCTGACAGCTGAATGAAGCCTCTTTCTGTTGCCTGGGTCAAGTGTCATTTTAATAATTTTCTTTCATTCTGTTGCCATAAAACTGGGGCATTAAAGCCCTCCTGCTTTTAAGCAGAGGATTCAAAGCACTCTCCCGTTCATCTAGGCCCTGAAGTTTAACAAGCACTTCAGTTGCTGTATAATTATTGGAAGCGTCATCCTTCTTTGCATGGTGTGAAAATACAGTGGTGCTTTATTTTCTCATTTTTTTATTTTGCTTTTTTTGGGGGGGAGGGTCACACCCGGCAACGCACCGGGGTTAACTCCTGGCTCATGCACTCAGGAATTACTCCTGGTGGTGCTAGGGGGACCATATGGGATGCTGGAAATTGAACCCAGGTCGGCCACGTGCAAGGCAAATGCCCTACCCGCTACACTATTGCTCCAGCCCCGGTGCTTTATTTTACTCTAAAGAAAGAATTTCTAATGGTGATAGGACACTCACTAGGTCTTCATTCCCTAATTTACTTTTTTCCAATTAAAAACCTACTTTAAAATGTGCCCTTCAATATTTTAATTCATTTTAACAGAGAAGGGTTTTGTTAGTTTGTGATTTGGTTTTTGGGCTAGACCCAAGGGTGCTCAGGGCTTACTCCTGGTGGGGATCAGTGGACTACATAGGGTGCCAGGGATTGACCCTGGGTTGGCCATATGCAAGGCAAGTGCCCTGCTTGCTGTGCTATTGCTCCAGTCCCTTTTTCAACGGATTTTAAATCTGCTAAAATGATAGACCAATGGCTGTTTAAGAGTGCAGACACAGAGCAGACCTAATCCTGTATTGTTTTTGTTTTTTTTTTCAGAGTTTCATAAAAAGGATCCAGAAATTAAATGACGTAAAGGCACAGTGTGACAAAGACTTGGGAAGGAAGGATGAAGGAATGGAGCTCCAGCCCATAGTGAGATAGGTGCTAGGTATTTATTTGTACCTGGAACAAATTTCCTTGTAAGAGCCATTCACAGCATAATGAAAAGGCCCAAAGGGTCCTGTTTCTGTCCCTTTGTTTTGTCATGTTGCAATAATAGAACCATAAAGTGTAAGATAAAAGTTTTGTACCCATGGGCACAGAAAATCTTTAAACACTTTGTTTACCCACACATACACACACTCTATATAAAATCTTTTATTCATGCGTACACATACATATATAACCAAGAAAGCACTCATGTCAAGTCTTATTTCAGGGCATCAATGAAAAGAACACTCCTAGAACCTTTGCAGAAGCCTCTACAATGTCACTATTCTTTCCCTTATCCAGAAATGGTCTTGGTCTAACTTGTCAAAGCAGTTTTAAGACTGACAATAAAAACCAAAAGTTTAACAGGAATTGTTACCTAATGGGCCTGGTATAAACCAAGGACAGCAATTTAGCCAGTCAAAACTTCAATCTGCTACAAGATGAATATTCTGGAGATGTGGATTTCAACCACAGCCACACCAGATTTGCCTGGAGGAAGATTTAAAATATGTGCCCTGGGCCCTGTGCCCAGAGGTTTGGATCTTATGACAGGCCAGAAGACTCTTCCTTTTCAAAGCTTTAAACAAAGTTAAATATTTAACATGATGATTGGCAGATGATCTCAGTCAGGGGACTTGGTTGGCATCTCGAGGCTCTGCTAACAGGAGGACTTAACTGGCAGAGCAGTAGGCCAGGGAGATAGCCCAAAGGTCTGGAGTGAATGCCTGGTATGCATTGGATTCATTCAGTCCCCAGCACCACATGGTCTCCTGAGCCCATGTGTAGCCCTGCACTAGTAACACAATGTAGATCTCCCTAAAACATTCTGCAAAGACGCCAAGAAGCAACACACCACCTCCAGTTTACATTACAAATGACAACAGGACCATTGAAATCAGCTGAGCTGCTCTGGTCTCTTCTAGGAAGGTGAGTTACATAGCAGTTTCTAAAGCAGAGGCTTCCCAAATTGACTTAGCCAAATTCCCCCTTTCAGAAAACAACACTGCTCAGTCCCCACCAAGGAATCTATCTTCTTTTAGCAAATAAAGACAAAGCTCCCCCGAAGTGTGCTAGAGGCTACTGCTGCCCCACACAGCTCATTCCAGCACCTCAAGCCGTAATAATACCCACTCTGTGAATCACTGATCTCATGCAGGGCAATTGGGGTCCAGGGGGTTGGGGCCAGTCCTATTGATACTCAGCCAACTGAACTGACAGTTCAGTTCTATGGCCCACAGATGGCATGCAGTTCGGGCCCTACATTGCCCAGGGTTATCCAGGTAGTGCTTGGGGGACTTCAAGTCTGGCCATGGTGATGCTGGGGGTGGAACATGTGGTGCCAGAGACTGAATCGAGTCTATTCCTGTACCTCTCTGGACCCTAGAACAGGGTTTCTAAACCTTTTTCCATTTCATCTGTGAAATTTTTATACAATTTGGGTATACAGGTGCATAAAATGGGTATCCAAATAGCCCATTTACTGATAGTAAATAATGTGGTTATTTCACAACAACTTTTATGATTGTTTGCAAGCCCCACATTCTGTCATATAACTCCATATGTGGAGTTGCTACACAGTTCCAAATGTTCGGCTCTGAGATACTGGGCACTGTTGGCATGAAGAGCAAGTCTGTGGCTACAGATCTCAGCGATGTCGTCAGTGACTACCTTGGCTAGAACAAACAAATTTTACTCGTACAACCAACAGACCCCTTATCAGAAATCAAAGCTGAGGAAATGTTGGGTTGTTAACTTTAAGTGATTGGATTATTTTGGTCATCACAACACTTCGCTGTTTGGCCTTTTTCTATGCCATGACTGCTGGTTCAATTCTGCTGACACTTCTTAGCAGAAACCCATGTTAACAATGATTAACCTGACCTACTATGTTTCTTTCCAAGGTTTATTCATCACAGAATCTAAATTCTATCCCATTCTCCAACAATGCCTCTAGGATATTTTTTAAATTAGTCCAAGTTGTATTTAAGATAAGTTTGGGTCAACTGAATCACATTGGAATAAGGGTCAAATAATACATTGAATTCTGGCTGTAATGTACAATATGCAACTTGTTGGGGTCTTTATTTTTCTATACCTGTCTCAAGCACAGGATTTATTGTGTGTATTAAATAAATAAATGTTCAAGTACTTGAGAACAGTGCCTGGAAAAGAGTAATTTAAAAAAAATATCTGACTATCAGTATGTTCATCAGAAAATAATCAGCCTGTGGCTCGTGTGAATGTTCAAAAAAAATATTTATTTATAAAAAATACAATGGGATAAGTTTATGCTGAGAAATGCAGCAATAAATACAGTTGAAGAAAACAGAGCAACTCTACATCGATACATTGGCACAAACAGAAGAGCAAATGCACCACCCAGACCCAAATGTCTGCAGGCCGACTCTGTACATGCTCCTTGAGAAACCACCCCACAAAGGTCTTGTCAATTTAGGTAAGAGAATGAGTACACATATAATCACAAATGCACACAGATCATAACTTTATTTAAAAATTAGCAAACAATACTGTAGAAACATTCATATGTAAATTTCTAAAATGCTGCATCTTAAATTTAGTTGGCAAAGACCACATTTAGCTATAAGCACGGGGTTTAGTCTTCCATGTAGAAACCAGATACTAAACTGTAAAAAAAAAATAGGTTTCTATTGTTTGAAAATAGCAGTTTAAGTAGAAGAGTGTAAAAATGCATAGATCTTGAATAGAAGAATCAGCTGTACAAGAGTACTCCCCTTTCACAGTATTCCTTTTGACTTCAAATGTAAGTTATCAGTGATGCTGTAGGATTTAACTGTTACAGCACTAAAAGGCAACTATTTAGGGAAGAGGCTGAAAAAAGGATAAAGGAATGTATGTAAGGCAATATTTCTTTTAAGTACAATAAGCATAATAGTGTTTTAGGAAGACGAGATAAAAATTACTCAAGGCTAGCTTGGTTCTCACGGAATAAAAACAACGGGCTAAATACTGAGCTCCCTGCTTGACTAATAATCAATGCCTTGGTCGCCATACGGGTAATCTCGGGGGTAGTCGTCTTGGTACTCGCCCTGATAGTCATCGGGGTATTCTGCCTGGTAATCGCTATCACTGATTTCTGACCCATTTGTTCCTGTTCCTTGGCTTCCATTGTGAATGACGGGTTCAGTGGGAGCAGCACAATACTTGGGGTCATAGACCTGCCGCCCGAGCCCATATACACTCATTCCTTTCTGGGAAGCAACTTTGTTGGTGCCCATCTGTAGGGAAATCGTCGAGTTGTCCACTGGTTGTAGTGTCAGCTTCTGATCATAGATGTCTCTTCTGGTGCCTGGTGCTAACATTCCCGCCTAGGAACAACACATAACATAGAAGTCAAATCAACGGCGGAACTAGATCCTTGAGACTATTTTACAAATCATGAAACTAGCGTTAATAGGATGACATGGATTACTTTCCCTCAGAAGTTAAGCTAATGACTTTTCATTCAAGAAGAAATCTAGTTTACCAAAATATCCTGTTGGCAGATATTTTTCTTTCTTGTTTTTGTTTCTTTTTTTGCATCACATCTGGCAGTACTCAGGAGCTACTCCCAGCTCAGTGCTCAGAGGCCACTCCTGGCTGTGCTCAGAGGACCAGGCCCTACCAGGGACTGAACCTAGGCCACCTGCATGCAAAGCATGTGCTCCAGGCTGCTGAGCTAGCTCTCAGGCATGACAAATTATTTCTTTTGAAGCAGATTTCAAAGGAGACTGGCCCTCGCCCTTGCTCAGCTAGCTATAAAATGGTTACGTGGACACAAACAAATTTACTTCACTTTACTCAGAGGTTTCTTGGCTGCCAAACAGAGACGATGCCTACTTCAGGGCTAGCAGAGGTGTAGATGTACAGAATGAAAACAAACAAACAAACAAACAAAAAAACAAAAAAACCAAATGCTGGCATCCCTGGCAGTTACCTGACCACATACGCACCCAGGTTACCAATTTCAAAAGTTTCTAAGCCATGTAACAAAAATTATGACGAGAAGTTCCTAAAGACTTAACTCCTGCGAAAGTACCTGAGCTACCCCAGCGCCTGTTGTCCTGGAACAGCTATTCTCTTCTCTTCACAGCATAATTCCCTGTCTATGCCATGCAGACACATTCCCAGAAATCAGTAAAACAGCAGACCCAAGAGGCAATCAGGACACAAATGATGCATGTGGCAGGGCATGTTCCACAGAGAGAAAAACCACCACAAAACTCTCAATAAGTAAAGTTTCTTAAATTTTATAGTTAATATTGCCTTGGGGTTTTGTTTGTTTGTTTTTTCCTTTTGGGTGAAAAGTAAATCCTTTTCATTTGGTGATAATTCTGATTGTTTTTTTCCACAAGAGTAATTATGCTTTTTAAAAATCATTGGTGGGATTGAGTAAAGGGTAGGAGTCAAGATAAAATCACCAAGGGGAGGTGGGGTGGCTTTTTCAAACCTCTCTCCAATCTTGCTGGCTAAAAGACCAGCTGCCAGTGGTCTCTGGCAGTACGGAAATAATCCCAGCAGAGCATGACGACAGAACGCAAGCACGCTCACTCTGCACTCAGAGCCTCACATTTAATAGCAATGTGTGTGGAACATTTCTTGCACCAGACATCTAATCTACCAAACGAATCCCCGGCTCCTTCAAGAGTAAAAGAAACATTATTAGAATGAGCTAGTTATTTGGACTTGGAGCAGAAACACTGTCATAAACAGCATTTTTTCTTCTGATTGGGCAGGAAGGCCAGCTGTCCTGACAAAGCCCTGAGTCTCAGCATACTTGTGTCACTACAGAAAAAGTCCTTTGATTCTTTTGCTCTCTCCTCAAAACCTACTTCTGTCCTGAAGGGACAGACTATTTGAGTATCATACCAACAATACCAACTCAGAACGGACATAAGGTGAGGATAACTAACAGGCCTGGGCTCTCTGCATATGTAAGAAGGTTCTGCTTACCTGGCTGGCGCCTTTGTTGGTGCCCATCTGCAGACTAATTGTAGTCTGGTCAAAAGGTTTGTCAGTTTGCATTTTGGGGTCGTAAAGATGCCTTCGAGTCCCGTAGGCAGTCATACCTGCCTGGCTGGCACATTTGTTGGTTCCCATCTTTTAGGACAAAAACAAATAGGCACTAATTAGCAGAAAACACGTGTAACACATCCAAAACTTGGTTTCACTCAAAAGATAAACATGGCACAACCGACACTTCCCTCCCAGTGCTGATGCTATGGTTGGCGAGAGGAAAATGGTTTTCTGGAGCTGGAGCAATAGCATAGTAGGTAAGGTGCTTGCTGACCTGGGTTTGGTTCCCAGAAGCCCATATGGTCCCCTGAGCACCGCCAGGAGTGGTCCCTGAGCACTGAGCTAGGAGTAACACCCAAATACCACTGGGTATGGCCCCAAAACTTAAAAAAAAAAGACTTTCCTGTCCTTTTTTATAGATTCGAATGTGCTCACTTTAAAAAGCCTCTCCCATCTCAATTTGCTTCCACAACACAATTCACTGTACGAAAATGTACATGCAGAGGTGCCAGTGAAGTGGCTCAGCTGTAGAGCGCTTGCATGACAAATATGGGGACTTGGGTTCGACCCCCGGTACCAAGAACAACAAAAAAGGAATAAACAGATATACCAAAAAAAAAAAAAATCAACACCAACAATGATGTAAGAGAATTATGAGAAATTAATTTCCTCTACTTGTCTTTCTTCCTCTCCATAGTCCAAACAACTGGATAAAAGAGTAACTGTGAGTAACTTTAAACAATCATTTAAAGGGACAGAGCAATCTTTGTCTTGTCTCCTCAGGTACGTTTTGCATAAAATGTGAGAGCAAATGTCAGGTGTCTCTTCTCTGGCAGCTCAAGGGGACCTTCTTTATGTTCCATCAAAATCACTAGCATTTCCACGGAAAAAGAGCTACACTTTATTCAGATACTCGGATCACCGGACAGGGTTGGAGAAGCAGAATGAAGAATGGGAAAGCAACCAAGTTTAGAAGAACAATAATTAACTCCCCCCACGCTGAGAAGAATGGTTTAACAACCACCAGTACACTCTGTTCTACTGGCTGTAAACACCGTTCTTTGATCTTAAAAACAAGATTCATTCAAGGAAAATTTGTTGATATGAGAAGACACATAAGGCATATTTATGCAAAGAAGGGGGGAGAGATTACTATAATTTTCCCATCCAGACATTTACTGTAAACATTGAGCATATTCACTAACTTCTTAACTGATGTGTTTGCATACACACTTACACATATGCATATAAATATATACATATACACACAAAAATAAGCATGTGAGTCTGTTTTTGTTATGAGGCCATACCTAGTTGTACTCAGGGAGTCCTGCAGTGAGGGATCAAACCCAGGGCATCACATAGCCAAGGCTTCTGCTCTACCACTTAAGTCACATCCCCAGCACATGGAGAAAAAATGGTGATCACACCACTATTTCTTAGAACCTCATTTGTTTTCCTTATACTTTGAATGCTTGTTTATCACTTTTACACTATTAGTTCCTTTCATGTCTTTATAATTTAACCAACTAGTTGCTACTTGGAGTTGAGGGTCCTAACTCCTTATCACTAATATAATTCTGTACCATATAAAAATAATTTATCTCATGGGAGTGGGGTGGGGGGAGGCAGAGAGATAGTACAGCAGGCAGAGCGCTTGTCTTGTACAACACCAAATCAGGTTTGATCCCTGGCATCTATATGGCTCCAAGTCCACAAAGATTGATTCCCAAGTGCAGAGCCAGGAGTAGTTCCTGAGCACTGCTGGGCATGTAACTAATAATAAGTAATAAATTAACTATTTATTATTTATTAAATCAACAACCATGCCGCAAAAAGTAAATAATAATAATTAATCTCACAAAGACTCAGCCCAGAGTGGGGCACCAAATCAGACAGCTTTCAAAGGGCTGGAGATATAATGTAGGGGTTAAGGCATATTCCTTGTATGCTGCCAGGCCTGGTTTGATCCTGGGGAATGCCTGGAGGCCCTGAACACCAACAGGATGGTTCCAGGAAATTCCTGGGGCTGCAGAGGCCAAGGAGCATCGCACACTTCTACCTTCACATTACCATTACCCTGGCAGACCGAGATCTGCTCCAAGTGGTCCCAAGACCCCCAGATCATTACTTGGGAGCAGAATCTCCTCCTCCCCCCTCCCCTCCCCCGCAACAAACAAGTAAAAACAGGTATCAGAGAAGAAAACATAAAGTATTAAGGACATTTAGTAACAGAATTCTCAACTCAAAGCAATATCTGGCATCATATAGAATCCAGAGCACCTCCGGGAGCAACACCCCCTAGCACTAGCACACTGCTTAGATGCGTCCCAAAAATAAAATGAAACAAAAACTCAGAAGAAGAATGTAAATACAAAAAAATTTCATTTCCTGGAATAAGAACTGTAAAGTCATATGCCATGTCTTCTTTTAAACATCACTTCAATGTACACTGGTGGAGGGACGGGTGTTGGAGCATTCTATGACTGAAACCCAACCGAGAACAGCTCTGTAACTATGTATCTCACAGTGATTCCATTAACAGTAAATAAATTAATAAATAAACATCATCAACTTGTGGGTTTTAAATAGGCATAAACTTATGGGAGACACTTGGCATGGTGAGAATTAAGAGTATGGAATGAGTAACTGATTATGCAATGCCACATTACCTGCAAACCAATTACACTCTGGCCAGCTTTTAATTTTCCTTCATCAAAACGTCTTGTTTGTTTCTCTGCATACTTCACACCAATATCAATGGTTGTATGGAATCCTTTTGTTTTCGCCTAGACAGAAACATGGGCACTCAGATGCAGTCTGACAACAGAGTTTCACCCAGAGAATAACGCAGAAATGGCATTGTCAAGAGGCATGGTGTCACCAGGTAAACCCAAACTAGGGGTGCCAAAGAGATCTGAAACCATTCCGAACAAAGGGGACAGTGTTTTAACTAAACTATCTTACACCAAGAGGCTGATGCCCACCACTTTTCCACAAAGCTACAAACTGTATGAAAAAGAGATTCCTCCCTGCCACATAGGGGACAGCAAAGACACAATTTTGCTCTAACACAGAGGGCTTTGTTTGGCTATTAAAGACATACATACCAGTCCTGCGAGAGCCACCAGCGTGGTCTGAACCTGGGTCATATTTCCATTCTCAAAGAGATCGTTTGCTTCAAATATGTCATGAGGCTTCATGCCGTAAGCCTGGATGGCCTTAATAAAGTTGCCAATATTTTCCAACTATAAAGAAAAAGTTGTGTAACTGTGGGAGCTAAATATTGACATTAACATATTACATAAGAATTCTAAGTCAGGTTCTTCAGTAAAGTTCTCTGTGGAAAAGGTGAACTATTTTTAGTGACTCAATGTTAGGATTTTTTCACATTTTTAAGCAGTCCAGTTTCTTTTTCAGTTCTTTACAAGCCAAACCTTTCTCTTATGTTTTTAAGATTTCTGTGTCAGGGGAGAGGAGGAAAAAGAATTCTTTATCAGAGTGATCCAAGGCCTGGTATTTTCTTTATCAAAAGGATCACTGTCAAATTTTAGAAATGTTTTCATTTAAATCTGGGGGTGGGGACAGAGCTGGCAGGGCGGATAAGGTGCTTGTCTTACACGCAACCAACCCGGGTTCTATTCCCAGGCACCACATATGGTCCCCCGAGTCCGGCAGGAGTGATCCCTGAGCACAGAGCCAGGCGTTAACCCTGAGCACAGCTGGGTATATTCCAAGAACAAAAACACCAAGCAATCAAACAAAAAAATCCATGGTTACTAAACACATACTCAATAAATAATGCATTTTGCTTGATTACATACTCAGGAACTGAGACAGTTTAGTACTGTTTTAGAGTTAACCACTGCTCTGATTCCTGGCTTTCCTCTACATTTTTTTTCAGGTTCTAGATTATATTTCTTCGTACAAGTTGAAGCTAAACATCTAATAATCACAGAACTAATTCTAACTATGGAAATATTAAAAATTACATGGATAAAAGATGTTCACAGACTTTTTCCCCTCTGGTGAAGCCCACATTCTCTACTGAACCTGTATCTCTCTCTCTCTTCTTTCACATTTCTCTAAGTAAATTTCTTTCAAGAAAACCTACTTCACTTCAGGCTAGAGAAAGAATATAGTGGGTAGGGCGCTTGCCTTGCACTCGGCCAACCAGGGTTTGATCCCTGGCATATCTAGTACCTGCCAGAAGTGATCCCTGAGCACAGAGCCAAGGGTGAGCCCTGAGCATTGCTGGATGTGACCCCAAAATAAAACAAACCCTATAAAACCACAAATGTTTTCTAATATGCCAGTGTTAACAGTTTCAAATAAGTTTTAAAACTGTAACACATTCCTGTAACATAAGGAACAACCAAGGAGAACTGGGAAGGCTGCTAGTTTGCTGTTACCTGAGGCCAGTTTAAGGAAGACTCGTTGACTTTCTTCACTGAGCCTGGCTGTAGCTTGTTTATGAGTCTGAAAAGAAACGTGTGAAGTGACACCTTATTCACTGCTTGTACAAAAACAAGGGTTAGGATGTAAAGTTGGTCTTTTAACATCAATAAAGGTAAAACATTTACAGAAATCAAGGTCTGACTCCCTGTCTAGGGAAGGCGGGCAAGGCAAGGCCTGCGAGAGGGGCTGTTACAACAGGACTGGCCACTTGGGAATCCAACTTACTCGCACAGGATTATACCATCTTTCAAGCCCAGCTGAAAGTTGGTGCCAATGCTCATGCCTGTCACCTCTTCAATCCAATTGCGAAGATCTTCTTCTGCCTGATGATCATATTTAGAAGCAATCTGAAACACAAATTAACTGATTTTAGAAGAATTTCCACTAAAGCATCAGAAACTGCTAATGCCGTGTTCTGCTTTAACCACCCGTTTGTGACCACAGCTGCGGCAGGCAGTAAACCACATGCATCAGAATCAACTGGCAAACCAAATAAACCATCACGGTTCCAGCAACTGATGAAAAGTGGGAGTGGGGAGGGAGGAGGGGTAGCAGCAAGGCAAGGCCTGAAACATTTGATCAGCACATCCAGAGAGCTAGCTCAGAAGGGCTGAGTGCAGGCTTCACACGAGCAAGACTTGGGTTTGACAGCTGGCACTACATGGTCCCCTGAGTAACCAGAACCTATCAGGTATGCTTTAAATTAAAAAAAAATTTTTTTTAAATTTTAACAGCACAGGGGGAAAAGCTGGAATAGAGAAAGAGAAAATACTACCAAGATAAGAAAACGATACGTCTGGTAGACTCCTGAGCTTTCTATTTAGCAAATACACACGTCTAAGCAAATACACGCCCACATACATGTACACACAATCTTCTCAGTACTATTGTATTTATAGTAAAATACTAAAACTCTATGAAACTGACATCTCTGTAGACTCCTCACAGAAAGGAAGAACATTCAATTCTCTTCTAGCCCTCTGGCCCAGCACTGTCCCTGATATCCAGACATTTCACAAAATCAAAAGAATACTTTACTTACTGAAATCTACAATAAAAGTAAGGTGTTACTGTACTGGCTAAAACTGCTAGCTCGGCATTAACAGCCTTGATCCAGACTCCACAGTAAACCTCAGAAGACAGCAACTCACCAGAGATCTCTCCGGACCCCACACTGAGCTGATTCCACAGGGACACTCAGATAGAGTGGATGCTCCCTCTCTGTCCACTCCAAATGAACCCCCAGTGGCCACAGACTTCCAGAAGAAAAAAATCCAGGTATGCCGGAGCAGGGACTGAAGACCTCAGGCTACATGTTGGTAGCTGGGACAGGCCTTCCCTTCCCGTCCCCCACCTGCTAGGGGTCCTGCTGTCATGCCCATGAACTGCCTCAGTGTACCACTTAAGCACATTAATGGCCTTGAATCAGAGACTCCCAAATGAATCTCAATATGGACTATCTCCCTACAGAGATGTCTCTGGACCCCAATCACTTACAATTTTAGAAGTCCAGGACCTCTTATGCTATTCAGAACAAGCAATAAAAAATAAAGTATCTAGTATCTTCCTGTGGCAGGCAAACTTGAATGGTGGTGGGAAAATTTGAAATTTTGGGTGGTGGGAAGGTGTAATGTGGTGGGACTGGTGTTGAAATATTGAATATAATCAATTAATGTGAACAACCATATGAAAATAAAACTTAAAATTATATAAAAAAAATAAAACTGCTTGCTCATAAACAAAGAATTTGAAAGATCTCTTCAAAATAATAATAAACCTCAATTTTAAAAAATCCAAAATATTCTTTAAAAGCACATGTTTAGGGGCTGGAGCAACAGTGCAACAGTACAGTGGGTAAGGCATGGGCATGCCTTGCACACAACCGACTGGGCTCCATCCCCCGCACCACATGTGGCCCCTGAGCCCTACCAGGAGTCATCAATCTCTGAGCACAGAGCTAAAAGTAAGCCCTGACACTGCTGGATGTGGCTTAAAGAACAGAACAAAACAAAACAGCATGTGTTCAGGAACCAGGAAAGTGGCCAGTGGCACAACACCTGCCCTACCTGTGTGAGGCCCTGGGTCAAAAGCCAATGCTGCAGGTCCCTAGGCGGGGAGGGAGAGGGGGCGCACTTCTCCTTCCCAAGAGAAAAATATTCTCCAGGCCAGAAGCATCAGAATGAAGAGATTATCTAGACAGCTGTCCTTGACATTAACCTTGTACCGGGCCCAAGAGAGCACACAGAGGGAAGGCGCTCACCTGGCACTAGTCTGACCCCTTAAATCCCGACACCGCCTAGGGTCCATCACGCATAGCCAGGAATGAGCCCTGGGTTCAGAATCAGGACTAAGGCCTGAGCAACATAGTCAGGTGTGGCCCAAAAACATTAAAATAAAACCATCCAACTGTGACAACCGGCAATGAATATTAAAAGGGACTCGTCACATAGGATCTGTTTTTTCTCCCCATGTCCATTAACAACCATGACAACCTTTTCTGCTTGTCAAGGTAGAAGAAAGATTCAATTGCCATGGAGAAGTTGGTGAAAAACTCTACATACCAAGTCATCTAACTGCGGACTCCCCTATTTACCTTGTAATATAAAGAGGTAGGCCAGACAGTCCCAGAATTATGGGCATAGAATCCTCTTTTTAGAGAAAAAAAATCACTGAGCACCAGCCCTGAAAATCTCCCCTTTGAAAAAGCAAGAGCACAGAGGCACCTCAACTATACCAGAGGCAGCTAACTGCCCCCTGGGTCACCTCAGAGCCCTCCCAGGAATTATGTCTCCCTTCTACCAGGAGTAGAAGATGGACCACAGTGCAAAAGTCTTATGAATGCCTTTTCAAGAGACAGCAGTAGTCTGTGAATTTTTCCATCCCACTAAGAAAAAAAGGATTCTATCCCACTGGCAGGATGAGTCATTTATCAAAGCTGCAGATTTACTCAACCACAATTACAAATGGAAATTCGATGAGTCAATCTTTTTGTATTAAGATGATGAACACCATATAATGTTCCTGAAACAAAATTGGTGGGAAGCTCTCATGTTGGGAGCACATGTGCTCAAAACCTGGAGGTCTGTTTACGAAGGCGAGTTCAGGCTCAATAGCCAGTTAGTGCCTGATGTGGAGGAACTTCTGTCCCGTGGCACCTCCGTTCCCTAAAAAATACGCATCTCTTCTGATTTTCTGCCTGTCTGGCTCACACGGGCATCTGACTGTGGGACATGGAAGAAAAGGGCAGTGCTGGAAGGTTTTGTCACAGTGTCTCTGGGAGTAGAAAGGAGCTGCCCCTCCTATAATTTCTTGGACAAATATTCCTAGGTAACATACCTCCCTACCTTACCCAGAACATATGGGATACCTCCACATAACAAATAATGAACTGGTAGAAAATTGTTAAGGTCTGACTATATTTTCACACCGCAGTCTTGGTCTAGGTGGGCAGAAAATGTTCTCAACATAAAAATTTTGAGAGCTCAGTTATGGACAGAAAAGAGAGACAATGAGGAGAAACGGGTATCCTTATGCAATGGCTATGGAAAGCAACCTCTAATGGTGAGCAGAATTTATTTCAGCTAGGGGATACATTTTAATAAATCTAAAGACACCATGTTTCAATGAATAATTGTTGCAGATTTTATGCATTTTTTTTGTGAAAATGCGGGTGCAACCACTATGTAAAACTTAAAAGAAAAAACACTGTGCTAGTATTACTTTTAAAAAACTGTGTGTAAAAGATGTGGTGAGATAGAATAAACACGGGGGGGGGGGGGGGTGGTGGTCTGACCTCCACACAGAATCTGGCTCCACCCATCCACCCACTGGTTAATTCATTCACCTCAGTCTGAGCGTTTCCTGTCTTGACAACAGGGAGACTGATGTCCATGACGGCACTAGGTAACCCATAAGTCACTCAAATAATTTAGTCAATCAGTAACAACTGTCAAGAAATTCTTCACCTTCGTTCTTCCAAAAATCAAGATGGAAATTATGTTGGAGGGTCCTTACATGCATATTTGATCCTCTTATTCAAAACATGTCTGAGGCACTCAGTGCCATGTCCCAGACCACAAACATCACAGATGAAACCAGAAACAGAGAGCAGAGGCAAACAGACCTCTCTGCTCACTCTTCTCATAGAGGCAGTGATGAAAGAACAACAACAAATCAAGCACTGGAGTCGATAAATCAAGTACTGGCTAGGAACTCTGACTCTTCACAATGCCCGGATGCCAACAGCCAGTTGACTGCTCGGGGATGTAACACGACAAGCCATCAGTATATCTGTGCAAAAGTGAAGATCATCCACCCACCCCAAAAAAAAATCACCCTGAAAACTAGATGCACATTCACATCATGGCACCATTGGTTAACTCAGGGATTCCAGTAAGTAGAAAGGCAACAAGGACTTTTCCATCTAAAATACTAATGTTTTTCATATAAATGAACTTTCTGCTGTCAGGGCGGCTAAACATGTCTCCCTCTTAAACACCAAAGATTCCTCACACTGGTGCCAGGCACTGGTTTCTGTGCAAAACCACCTTTGTGCAACCATGAAGAACAACTGCTGGAGGCTTTTCACCCAGCACTGGAGCATCGACCTTCGCCAAATGGAATCAAAGGGGAAAGAAATGACTAGAAAAAGCACCTTCAGGGTATCTGGACCATTCCCCTGATAGCTTTTCAATGTTTTTCCATTCCTGCCCGCCCCCCGCCCAAGTCTTTCAGTCCTCCTTCCCACCTCCCTCCTGAGCAACTGGTGCCCTCAAAACTTCACTTCTATGAGTGTCCCTCTCCCTTCATGACAATCCGGACTACTAGTTTGAAGTCACCTCCAGCTCAAAGGCAGTGTAACCCTTTCCCACAGCATGACCTACGTTCTCACTTTCTTTACGACCTCTACAATAATGTTTGCTTGTTATAACAGATGACCGACCAATACACAAAACAGAAGTGTGTATGAACATACATTCTCAAAAAGGGTGAGAACAGTCACCCCCCTCCAGGGGGTGAAAACTGGCTCTTGTGATGGGTGGTAGAAAACATTTTAGATACTACAATAATTTGCAGAGCCAGAGAGACTATTTAGGGGCTGCTAGGATGCTTCGTCTACAAGAGGTCCTGGTTTCATCCCTAGCACCACATGGTTCACTGAAGATAGAACTGGAAATAGGCCCCGAGCACTACCAAGTATGATTAAAAAACCAGTCAAAAACCAACCCGCCCCCCACACACATATACACACACACAATTTGTGACTGCTCCAACAAACTATATGGTTTTCTCTTAAATTTGTTGATATTTCAGGGAAAAACATCTAAAATGCTGTTCTGGGGACAGT